TATTATATAATTTAATAAAATTAAATGAACTTGCTCGCATCATCTGCTGATTTCTTTCAGCGAAACTTTCATTTCTGTGTGACTGTGTGCAGTTCGTTAAGTTAGTCAACCACAAATTATTCGAGACATACGTCCTACTGTTTGGATGTCATCCGGAAGCAAAGCAAGAAGGCTTGTAAACGTTGGAATGTCGGTCTTCCTTGCAATTTCGTGTTAAGTCCATTTCTGACGCGCTTCTTTGCACACTTTCTCAAGTCAGTGGTGGGGTGTTTATTATTTCCGTGACATCAGTCAAATGTGTCTTATATTTCCGAGGGATAGTCGACAGCAGCCATGTGGCAAACATTGCTTGACGTCACGTGCTTTCTTCCTACAAAGTGCTACTTATTTAACAACGTCGAAAGGAAGAAAGGCGAGTGACACGACCGTGACTTTAATTCTGAACCTCGTGGTTCTGAGTCACGCACTCTTCTGATTGAACGACTCCGGTCTTAAGCTATTCGTGGCAAATGTTTTGCTCAGGCATTCGTGGTTAAAAACGTTGCCCTCTTCCGGAATGCAACCTGGCATCTCCGGAGTTCGAGGCCCACCTTTTAAGTCCAGTGCTACAAATCTCACCCAGATGCTGTCGGCCTAGCAGTTGAAATTCTCCAATGAAATTAACACGGCTAATTAAAGATCATTAATATCTTAAAGTGCAAAGCACACTCACGGTGTATTCACTTTTCATGCCAGCATTCTCATTCTTGCGCTTAATGACTTATTTTTAAATGAAAAACAGTACTATACTCAATAGGAACATCCTAAACTCAATCAATGGTTCATTTATTCATTGATTTATTCGTTCATTAATTGAAAAATTAACTCACATAATCGTTCTTTTATGCGTTGATTACTTTGGCTATTCATTCATAAATGAACCGAGTTACTAAATAGTAAATAAATATATTTATGAACAAATTCATTCATTCGGTGATTCACTTGATAATGAACCAACGAACAAACGATTCATTTACCATCCATCCATTCATTCGTTCGTTCATTATCTGTTCGTGTATTAACATTTCCTGTGTTGATCCATTCTTTCATTCACTGAATCGTTTGTTCATTCAATCGTTTATTTTTTAATTCATGGGCCCTATGATTCAGTCGCGCATTTAATCTTTCAATGATTAGTTGACTCTTCCACTCATACAGTAATTCATTAGGTCGTTCGTTAATTGGCTCATTTATCGTTTCGTTTATTCATTCACTGTCAAAGGCTTTCCGTTCTTTCATTCTCTCCCTCGATGGTTCTTTCGTAGCTTAGCACAATCGTTCCTGTTTCAAAGAAAGACGAAAATACGAAAGTTCCGTGCGGATGTTGCCTCCTAACAGTCACTCAACTCTTTTGAGGTGTCTTGAGCAGTTAATCCTACCCGTCAATAAACAAACTGTTGACGACATGAAGAAAGTACGTAGGTTCAGCTTTGGAAAAAAACTTTCGGATGTTGAGCGCAATCGCTTGTCTGTCTGACCATATGACGCAGGAGCTACACGAAGGACGTTACATTGTGATGTCACTGTTTCCTTTCTCTGAGGGAGCGATTTTAGCCCAGTTTCCTGCGACCAGTCTGTCAAACGGTCCAGAAACACTGGTCTTCAATTCATAGGTCGGTCGACGGGTGGCAAAATGGTTTTTATGGCGTCAGTCGTCACGATTTGCAAGAAAATAGCGTCACATCTCACAAACAACGTAGGTGATTGATTGCAAGGCCAATTTCTGTTTCGCTTCTTTCAAATACACACACTAACGACCGTTTACGGGACCAACGTATCAGAATTGCGGACGACGTGGTGAGAGTCATATTTCTTGAGTCATGGGAAAATTGGGAGCCGCATTCATGCGTCGTCACTTCAACTTCACTTCTAATCGCCTAACTCCAAGTACGACCAGGAGCTCTGAGTACGTGCACGTAAACATAAAAACGAAGTGCATCAAGTGTCATCGTCAAATTTTTGTTATGGACCAGGCTACCGACTTTGTGTCGTCAACATATAGTTTATGCGCCGCAGATTGCCAACAGCTATTATAGGGCATTGGCGAGTTAAGCATTGATTCATTTGAGAACATGGAGAGAGGCAGACAATGTCAAATCACATCTTTGAGGGAATCCAAAGTTTCTCAGACTCGGAGTCACGCTTCCAAGGAAGATAATAAATAATTTATTATTTTCACGTATTTTACAAATCGTTGTCTACGGAGCTTTCATAACCTTTCTTGGGCTTTTTTATGCCATTTAAAAGTCATGAGATCATCATGATATTGCTTGCCAGACGAGCTGCTTAATGTCGTAGGAATCTGATTATGTATGTAGTTAAACAGACAATCACTTAGGGACTTAAAATGAGGTCTAACCTCGTTGAGAGTAACATACCGCATCATAACTGCTAAGAAACATGTTAGGGTTTTCATGTGGTTGATCACATCACGTAACCATTTGCGAACCAACTGAACTTCAACGCAGATCCGCCTTGACACTGTCGGTCACAGTATGTATCGTTGTGAATTTCCGGTCCGTGCACCCTTTGTTGACTTTACCGAAACTTTCAACACTTTACCATGACAGTGCCCATTGAAACAACTCAGTAGCTACTCATGCGTGACTCGGTGATTAT